GAGGGCTGTGGATTTAGCAGGAAGCATAATTCATGTTGTAAAGGCTGGGGAAATGCGGGGTTGTTCTCTTTATCAATTTGCAGAGTGATGAGCGGGCATCCTGGCGACCTCCGGTGGAGCAGTCTCTTTGTGCGGTTTTTGTCAGCCCTGCCTCCGTTGTTTTGCTCATGGATTTTATTTTAATTGAGGTGAAATTCTCATAACATTAAATTATGCAATTTAAAGTGTACAATTCAGAGACATTTAGGACATCCACAGTGAGTGCTGTGCTCCGAACATTGTCGTCACCCCTCCAACCCCAGCCCCTCCCTGGCACTGAGTGGGCGACTTTCCATCTCTACATTTGCGAGCTCCCAGCACCTCCTGTAAATGGAATCCTACAGCAGGTGAGTTTCCGTGTCCGACTTCTTTCTCTCAGGACGATGTGTTCAAGTTTCATCCATGGTGCCGCCTGCATTAGTGCTCGATTCATTTTTATGGCTGAGCAATATCCCATCGTATGGATGGACCACTTGTGAGTCCAGTCATCGGTTGACAGACTTTGGGGATGCTTAACCAACTGAGCCACCCAGGCGCCCCACCATCTTAATAATTTTAAGTATGCAATTCAGTGATATTAAGTACATTCATATTGTTTTTACCAGCATCCATCTCCAGACCTCTTTTCATCTTGCAAAACTGAATCTCTGTATATACTTAAAACGGTAACTCCCGATTACCCCTTTCCCAGTCCATGGCAGTCACCATCTATTTTTTGTCTCTATAAATATTACTACTCTAGGTATCTGATATATGGAATGATTTTTTTTAATGCCTTTGATCACATTCAGGACCTTTCCTTTCATTCATAGTTTCTTGAATTGTTTTTGTTGTTGGTTTTTTTTAATCATGAAAGGCTGTTAGAATATGCCAAATGGGGGCGCCTGCGTGGCTCAGTTGGTTAAGCGTCTGCCTTCAGCTCAGGTCATGATCTCAGCGTCCTGGGATTGAGCTCTGCATCGGGCTCCCTGCTTGGTGGGGAGCCTGCTTCTCCCTCTCTCTCTGCACCCCCCACCCCAGGTTGTGTGCTCTCGCTCTCTCTCAAACAAATAAAATCTTTAAAAATAAAAGAATATGCCAAATGCTTTTTCTGCTTTGATAGGATCATGATTTTTAAATTCTAATAATTATCTGTACTACATTGACATTTTTGTATGTTTAACCATCCTTGCATTCCTGTGATAAATACCACTTGGTCATGGTGTATAATCCTTTTACTATGCTCCTGGTTAGGTTTTATAGTATTTTTTGAGGATTTTTATATCAAGGTTTGTAAAGGATATCGACCTGTAATCCCCCCCAAGTTTAATTGAGCCGTAATTGACATAACATGGTGTAAGTTTCAGGTGTTCAGTGGGATCATTTGACACACGTATTGAGAAATGTTTACCACAATAAGGTTAGCTAACACATCCTTCACCTCTTTAGTTATCCTTTTGCTATTGTTCTTATGGTGAGAACATTAAAGCTCTACCATCATAGCAACTTTCAAGTACGCAACACAGTATTGTTAACTTTAGTCGCGTGCTGTACATTCGCTCCCAGGAATTTACTCTTCTCACAGTTGAAAGTTCGTACCGTTTAACCGATGTCTTCCCACTTGTCTCACTCTCGGACCCTGGCAACCATTATTCTCCAAATTTCTGTGAGTTTAAGATTCTGCATACAAGTGAGGCCAGAGAATTTGTCATTCTCTGACTTATTTCACTGAACATAATGCCCTCTGGGTCTGTCCATCTTGTCACAAATGGCAAGATTTCTTTTTATTGCTGAATAATATTCCATCGTATACACATACTACATTTTCTTATCCATTCATCCATCCATGGGCACTTAGGTTGTTTCCATGACTTGGCTATTGTGAACAACGCTGCAGTGAACAGGGGCTGCATATACCATTCCAAGACAGTGATTTCATTTTCTTCAAATACATACCCAGAACTGGTATTGCTGGATCATGTTAAGTAGTTGTATGTTTTTATTTTTTGAGGAACCTCTGTACTGTTTTCCATAGTGGTTGTTCCAATTTACATTCCCGCCAACAGTACACAAGAGTTCCCCTTTTCTCCCTATTGTGCCATTTGTTCTATCTTGTCTTTTTTTTTTTTTTTTTAAGATTTTATTTATTCATTTGACAGAGAGCACAAGCATGGGGAGCAGCAGGGAGAGGGAGAAGCAGGGTCCCTGCTGACCAAGAAGCCCGATGCAGGACTCGATCCCAGGACCCCGGGACCATGACCTGGCCAAAGGCAGACGCTTCACCGACTGAGCCACCCAGGTGCCCCCTCTCTTGTCTTTTTGATAATAGCTATACTAACAGGTGAGGTGATATTTCATTGTAGTTTTGCTTAGCATCATTACCGATAATTAGTGATGTTGAACAACTTTTCACGTCCTTGTAGCCTTTTTATATGTTGTCTTTGGAGAAATGTCTGTTCAAGTCCTCTGCCCATTCTTTTTTAAATCAGATTTTTTTTGCTACTGAGATGTATGAGTTCCTTGTACATTTTGATATTAACGTCTTATCAGATACATGGTTTACAATATTTTCTTCCATCCTATAGGTTGCCTTTTATTTTGTTGATGGTTCCTTTTGCTGTGCAGAAGCTTTTTAGTTTGGCTAGTCCCACTCCTTGATTATTGCTTTTGTTGATTATGCTTTTGGTATTATTCCAAGGAATCATTGCCAAAACCTATGTCAAGGAGCTTTTCCCATGTTTTCTGTTAAGAGTTTTATGGTTTTAGATATTATATTTATTATTCATTCATTCATTTATTTTTTAAAGATTTTATTTATTTATTTGACAGAGAGACAGTGAGAGTAGGAACACAAGCAGGGGGAGCGGGAGAGGGAGAAGCAGGCTTCCCGCGGAGCAGGGAGCCCGACGCGGGGCTCGATCCCAGGACCCTGAGATCATGACCTGAGCCGAAGGCAGATGCTTAACGACTGAGCCACCCAGGCGCCCCTTAATCCATTTACTTTTAACATAGTTATTGATAGGTAAGGATTTACTATTACATTTAGTTAATTGTTTCCTGGGTGTTTGGGAGCTTCTTCATTACTTTTTCTTCTCTTTTCCTTTCTGAATTGATAATTTTCTGCAATAGCATATGTTGATTCCCTTCACTTTATCTTTTTTTGGAATTTTAAGTAGTCTCCACACCCAGCATAGGCTCAAACCTATGACCCTGGGGTGAAGACCTGAGCTGAGATCAAGAGTTGGGCACTTAAACGACTGAGCCGCCCGGCGCCCCTCCCTTCTCTGTGGGCAGCCTCTCTCATGTGTTTTTGTTTTGTGGCTACCCTGCAGCTTACTTGATTCGCCTTACAGATGTAAGAGTCTATTTTATGTGGATAACAACATTGGTTGCATATACAAACTACCTTCGTATTCCCTCCCCACCTACATTTTGTTTTTGATGTCACACTTTTAATCTTTTTATGTTGTGTATCTATTAACACATTATTGTAGCTATAACTATCTTGAACACTTTTGTTCTTCGACCTTTATACTAGAGTTAAGTGGTTAGCACGTACTACCATGTTGCATTACTAAATCTGACTATATACTTGCCTTTGCTCGTATGCTGTTTCTTCTCATATTTTTCAGGTTACTGGTTAGCATTCTTTTGTTTCATCTGACCAGCTCCTTTCAGCATTTCTTGTTAGGCAGGTCTAGTGTTGATGAAGTCCCAGAGCTTTTGTTTGGCAAAGTCTGTCTTGCCCTCATTTCTGAAGGGCAGCCTTGCTGGGTGAAGTATTCTGTTTTTGAGGTCACTGATTTTTATTTCTGCTTGGTCCAGATGATTTTGAAGCTCTCTATTAAATTCTTCAATTCAATCATGGTATTCTTCAGCTCCGTGATTTGTTTTTTTTTTTTTTAGTGTTTTCTATTTCTTTGTTGAACTTCTTATTTTGACCTTGTATTGTTTTCCTGATGTCATTAAATTATTTATCTGTATTCTCTTGGAGCTCTCTGAGCATCTTTGTCAGGCAATCTGTGGGTCTCTATTTCTTTGCGGCGAGTTTAATGTATTCCTTTGGTGGAGTCATGTTTCTCTGATTCTTCATCATCCCTACAGCCTTATGTGGTGTCTGTATGTTTGAATCACTGTTCCAGACTTTATAGATGGACTTCAGTAAGGAAGGACCCTCACTTGCAGACAGGAGCATGCTGGAATGTACTGTGAGCTTCCAAATATGGAAGTGTGGTGGCACTGATTCCAGAATGGTGTGGTGACTCACTTGCTTATGTCAGTGGGGTCCACAGCATCAAAACTGCATGATTCTTGGTGAGTGTTGTTGGGGGATGTGTCCACAGATGTTGTAAGGTCTGTGAGACCTCAGCAGTGCCTCCAGGTCCAACAGCTAGGGACCAGGGCAAGCAGTAGTAATGGTTGGGGCCAGTGGGGCAAGTGGTATAAGTCTGGCCGTGGAGCACAGCTAGAAGTGTGTGTGTGTGGGGGGCAGGGACCAGGTGCAAGCTCATACTAGTGGTTAGGGGCTAAGGTATGCAGCAAGTGCCAGGAATTCCTGTGGGTACACTGGGAGCTGCAGGGGCCCCTGGCTGTCAGTATGCTCTCCCAGGGCTTCACAGTCTCCCCCTGGGTATGCACACTGCAGTGGAAGCCAGTGAAGGGCCTCAGGTTGGCAGGGTGCCCGCACAGATGCACAGGCTTGTCCTGAGTGCATGCACAGCAGTGAGCACCAGCCACAGGGGTTAGGCTGGTGTCTTGCGCTGCTCAGCCACAGAGGCCTGGGATGGCTTCTCGTGCTGTTCCTGGGCTTTGATTGGAGGGAGGGGGAGGAAGTGGTAAAAGACTCAGGCAGGTAATGTCAGAAATGCAAATACCCGTGTGGCAAAAGCTGGTGAAAGCTGCTGGGGTCATCTGTGAAGCAGGTGAGTGGGCACTGAAACCACTTTTTGAAAAAGTATATTCACTGGTGAAGCCATCTGGTCCTGAGCTTTTCTTTGCTCAGAGGTATTCATCACTGATTCAATCTCTTCCCTTGTTGTTGGTCTCATCAGAGTTTCTATTTCCTCCGGAGTCAGTTGTGGTTTGCGTGTTCTAGAAATTTGTCCACTTCATGTAGGGTATCTGTTGGTGTGTAGCTGTTCATGGTATTCTCTCTTGGTCCCTTTATCTCTGTAAGGGAAATAGTAATGCCCACATGTTCATTTCTGATTTTTAGACTTGAATTTTTATATACCCAATGACTTTTAGTCCATTAAAGTCATTATCCTTTTGATGTTTGAATTAACCCCCCCTGGCCAGTGAGAGCCCCAGCATGCCGGTTCCTTTGTCCCGCTGACACAACTCCCTGACCCTCCGTAGCTGCCTTGCCTTATAAAAGCTCAAGATGCCCCAGGCTTGTCACATACATTCCCTGCCCAGACCTGGAATCCATTCTGCAGATCCTGAGCCCCTGCCTTTGCAATCCCCTCCGCCTGGGATGCTCTCCTGTATCGCGTTGTGGTTGACATTCACTCTTTAGTCTTGGATGACACGTTACTTCCTCAGGGACACCTTCCCTATACCCCCAGAACTGGCCGAACTTCTCACTTCAGCACCTTGTGGTATTGACCGTGAAGTGACCGGTAATGACTTGTTTACAGTCCTGGACTGCTAATATGAACCATGATCTGAGTTTGGGCCTTTCAGGGCTGCTACAGGAAGCCTGACAAGGGCTGCAATGAGGGAGGCAGAGCCTGTGGCCCTTGTGATGCCACTGAGCCCGGCTGTGGCTGTGTTTGCTGTCAGCGCGTGGCCTTTCCAAGCACTGAAGCCAAAGAAAAAAAAAAAAGAGCCCTGTTTTCTTAGGTCAGCGAGAATCAGCTTTAAGTCTTGCAGCCAAGAGTCCAAACTTATAAAATTATCTTCTCCAAGCTTTTCAGGATTTTTGTCCCCACCTGTTACTATGACAACCACACATATTGTCATGAGCTAGTGTCATGAATAAAGGAGGTGAAGAGGTATTTGTCTCCCCCAAGCTTTAGCTGTCTCAGTGTTTTAAGATTAGATCCTCCAGCCATTATAGACTTCCAGATGTTTCCCTGAAAAGGACAGCCTGAAGGGAATTTAAACCCTAAATGCACAGGCAGCAGGAAGAAGTCAAACAAGTGTGTCTACACTGTTCTGGGATCTCTTCCTAACTTCCTAGGTGTGTTTACTCTGATTTGGGATTTTCCTCTTGTCCCTGACTTGGGCTGTCTCTCTAATTCCCTGGGTCTATCTACACTGGCCCTTGTAGATCTCCCTTGTTCCCAGTATTTCTATACTGAACTGGTATGTTTCTATAATGCCCAAAGGTTTCTTTCCTGATTTTGGATGTCTTCCTAATTCCCCACTTTGTCTAACTAATGATGCCCCCCCCCGCCGCAATTCCCCAGATGTGTCTACTCTGAACAGGTTACACTCCCTGATACAGAGGTAGGTCTGCCATCTCCTGGGGTGTCTCCTATAGTCCTCAGGTATGTCTCCCCTGACCTGGCATGTCTCCCTCATTCCCCAGGTATGTCTGCCGTCACCTAGGGTATCACCCATTCCCCCATGTGTATCTACCTGTACTTGGGTGGCTCCCTAACTCCCCTGGGTGTGTCTAATCTGTTAACTGTATTTTTCAGAAGATTCCACCCCGATCTGGGAGGTCTCCCTAATGCCTTCTGTGGGTCTACACTGATGTAGAATGTCTCTCTTATTCCCTGTGTATTGTCACTGACCTGCGATATTTCCATAATACCCCAAGGATGTCTCCTCAGACATGGGATATTTCCCTAGGTACTCAGATTTGTCCACCTTTGCCTGGCATGTCTCCTCAATTCCCAAGCTGTGTCTACTCTGACATTGGATGTCTCCCATATTCCTCACACACGTCCACTCTGGCCTGGGATGTTCCCCTAATTATTCAAGTGTGTCTACTACGCTGACCTGGGATTTTTTTCCTTTATTTTCCAGGTGTGTCTACTTTGACCAGTGATGTCTCCCTAATTCCCTAGGTATGACTCACTGACCTGGATGTGTCCCTAAAAACCCTGGTGTGTCCACTATGTCTTATGTTCCTGTAATTACTCAGATGTGTCTACCTTGACCTGAGTGCTTCCTTAATTTTCCAGGTATGTCTACCATGTTCTGGGATGACTCTGTACTCCCTCAGGGTGTCTGCTCTGATCATGGATGGTGTCCTAATTTCTTGGAGTTTTTCCTCTGTCATGGGAAGACATCTTAATTCCCCAGATGTGTCTGCCCTGCCCTGGATGACTCCATAGTCATGTCTATGTCTATATTAATCTGGGATGTCTCCCAATGTACCATGTTGTCTACACTGACCTGGGATATATTGCAAATGTACTTGAGGTATATATATATCTGGCCTGGGATGTTTTTCCAGTTTCCAGTTGCATTTACACTGACAAAGATGTCTAATTTCACAGGTTTGTCTACACTGATCTGGGATATCACTAGTGACCTAGATGAGTCTATTCTGACCTGGGATGTCTCTCTAATCCCCCAGGTGTGTCTATGCTCAGGGATGTTTCAGTAATTCCCTAAATGTGTACATTTCTAGAATGTTTTCCTGATTCCCTGGCTCGTCTATCCTGATCTGGTACGACAGTCCAATTCCCTAGTGTGTCTACTTTGATCTGAGAGGTTTTCCTAGTTTTCTAGGTCTGTTTCCTGAGCTCGGATGCCTCCACAACATTACAAGTGTCTATACTGACCTGAGTTGTTTCCTTAATTACCAAATGTATCTACTATGGCATGGGTTTGCTCCCTTATTCCCTATTTTTCTACACTGCCCAGGGATATGTTTCTAATTGTCAAGGTGTGTCTACACTGACCTGTTCCTAATTCCCTGGGTTTGTACACTATGTCCTGGGATCTTGTATTACTCAGTTTTGTCCCCCCTTGAATTGGGATGACTCCTTAGTACCCGGTTTTGACTACTCTGACCTGGGATATCTCCCTACTTCCATACATATCCCCTGACCTGGGGTGTAACAGTCATAATCCAGATGGCTACTGTGACCTTACGTTTCTACATCCTTAATTATGTCTACACTACTCTGGGATGCTTTCCTAAATACCTAGTTGTGTTACCCTGACCTGGGATATATCCTCATTTTCTCAGACTTGTCTACCCTAACCTGAGATATCTCCATAATTCCTGAGTTGTGTCAACACTGACTTGGGAAATCTCACTAATTCCCTGTGTCAACACTGACCAGGAGTGTCTCCCTAACTTCCCAATGTGTGTCTACTGTGATGAAGGATGTCTCTCAAATTCCACAGGTGTTTCTACACTTTCCTAGTATGCTTCCCTAGTTCCGCATTTTGTGTATACATTGAAATGTGACATCTCTATAATCACACAGGTGTGTCCTCTCTCCTTAATTCTGTAGGTGTGTCTAATTGGATGTCTTATTCCAATGTATATCTACCCTGAAGTTGGATGTCTTCCAAATTCACTGTGTCCACACTGTCCAGCAATGTCTCCCTTATTGCTCAGGCATGTCTACCCTCACTGAGGATGTCTCCCTAATCTCTCAGGTGGGTCTACAATAGCCTGGGATGGCTTCCCAATTCCCTGTATGTGTGTCGTGACTTGGGATGTCGAATTCCATAGATGTGTCAACACTGACTTGGGATATCTCCCTAATTCTCCAGGTGTGTCTGCTCTGACAAGGGTTATTGACTTAATTATTCAGTTGTGTCTGCAATGAACTAGATGCCTTCCTAATTCCCTGTGTGTTTACATTGACCTGTGATATATCTCTAATTTCACAGGGTTGTATATGCTGGTTTTGGATGTCTCCATGATTACTCAGATGGGTCTACTCAGACTTGGGATTTCAATCCCAAGTTGACATGTTGACATAAATCCCAAGTTATGTCTACCATGACCTGGGATATCTTCCTAGTTCCCAAGGTATGGAACTTAACCAGGGACGTTTTCCTAATTTCTCATATGTGTATACCCTGACCTGGCATGTCTCCTTAATTCTTCTTATGTGTCTACCATGATGTGAGATGTCAAGTTATTCTTTGTCTTCTTCAACCTTGGCTCTCGCCCTAATTGCTCAGGTGTGTCTACCCAAGCATGGATGTCTACCTAATTACCCAGGTGTGTTAGCTCTTACCTTGGATATTTCCATAGTGCTTCAGTTGTATCTACATTGATCCAGGCTGTTTCTCTATTTATGTACAAGTGTCTAACACAATCTGGTTGTCTGCTTAATTCACTGGGCTTGTCCACAGTGATAAAGGATGTCTCTCTAATTCCTCAGGTTTGATTACTCTGAACTGGCTTATATCCCTTCCTTTCCATATGTGTTTACCCTGTCCAGTGATGTCTTCCAAATTATTCGTACGTGTCTACTGTGACGTGGAATGTCTCCCTACTTCCCCAGGTGCGTAGTCACTGACCTGGGATGTCTCCCTAATTCCCTGGTAATGCCTACGCTGAACTTGGATGACTCTTGAATTCCCCAAGAGTGTCTATATTTACCTGGGATGTCTATTGACATCCACCAAATACCTTAGGTTGTCTACCCTGACTGGGTATGTCTTCATAATAAACCAGATGTGTCTACTCTGATCTGGGATCTCTTTCTAATGTCCCAGTTTGGTCCACCTTCACTGGGGATGTTTTCCTCATTCCCTAGGTTTGTTGACTCTGACGTTATACATCTCCTCAAATCGCTAGGTGCATCTTCTCTCACCTGGTATGACTTTCTATTTCCCAGTTGTATACACTGCCATAAGATGTCTCTCTTTTCCCCAAAATGTGTCTACTGTGATCTGAAATGTTGCTGGAGTCGGCCACCAAGAGGATGTGACCCCCGGTCGATGCATGAGCTAGACCCAGGCGGTTGAAGGCTCCTCACCCTCTCCCCTGTCATTAGAATGTGCATTCTGCTTGCCTTCTCTGCTCTGCTCCCAGAAGCTGCCTCAAGGACACAGCCTTAGATAGTGATGTGGTACTGAGACCATCTAGATGGTAATATGGGGCTGAACCCAGTTAAGGCCTCTATATAAACTTCTAGGATTTGGCAAGTGGGTGCAGAGATCTACTTGTCTAGCAGCTACCCAAGACAAGTCTTGAATGTAAGTTCCCTTGCTTATTGAACCTGCCACCTACCAACCTG